GCGGCTGGTGACCATCCCCCCCTCATTGGAGGGCAATCTCCGGTTTTGGGGGTCCCCGGATCACCTCCGGAGGGGGTCTCCACTGGAACGGATGACCTCCTACATCAAAGTGTTCACGGACGCATCCAGAACAGGATGGGGAGGGACCTGCCTGAAGAGGGCTATAGGTGGGCGCTGGTCTCTAACAGAAACACGATACAGCAACCTCCTAGAGCTACGGGTGGTAGTGTTAGTCCTCCAGCAGTTCGTGCCCCTAATTCAAGGGAGACATGTAATGGTCAGGAGCGACAACAACACCACAGTGGCTTATATCAACAGGCAGGGTGGAGTCCGCTCCGCCGCCTTGTTGACCACAGCGGAGAGGCTGTGGTTATGGGCTTCAGAGGTGGTTTTATCTCTGAGAGCCCTCCATATCCCGGGACTGGAGAACAGGGGGGCCAACCTCATGTTGATGGGCGGCCCCCTGCCAGGCAAATGGACGCTTCACATGGAGGTGGTGAAGCAGATCTGGGTCCAGTTCGGGAGAGCAGAAGTGGATCTGTTCGCCAGCCGGCGCAACAGCCACTGTGCCCTGTGGTTCTCCATAGCCCTGAGCGACGACCCGCCTTTAGGGGTGGATGCGTTTGCACACGAGCCATGGCCAAGGAAGCTGCTATACGCCTTTCCACCGCTGCGTCTCATTCTCCCTCTCCTGGGGAGAGTGAGGCGAGAACATCTGGCAGTCATTCTGGTCGCATCGGAGCGCGTCGGGGCGCGTCGGGGCTCCGTGGTAGTCAGGGATGGCACAGATGAAGGTGGGCCAGCACTGGGCAATCCCCCAGTTCTGGGGGGCGATGTCTCAAGAAGCTTCCGCCCCACAGTGCGAGCTGCCCCTAGTGTTCGAGGCTCTGGTCTCAGAACCATTTGAGCCTCTGGAGCTCTCCTCCCTAAAAGCACTGTCGTGGAAGACAGCGTTGCTACTTGGCTTAACGTCAGCCAAAAGAGTGTCCGAGTTGACCGCTCTGTCGTGCACCCGAGTTGCCTGTTGATTCGGGGTGACCGGAGCGGGGCGACACTCAGACCGAACCCCTCCTTTGTGCCCAAGAGCCTAAGGAGTGCGTTCAGGTCGAGGGGTATTCAGTTGGGGGGATTTAGTCTTCCACTCCATGCTGGGGCCCGGGTGCGCGCGTTAGCATGTTATGTAGAGCGCACAGCTACCCTGAGACGCACTGAACAGCTGTTTGTGTGCTTCGGGGGCGGGGTGACTGGAAAAGCTCTGTCCAAGAAAATAAATGTGCTAATATAACAAGGGTTACAATACGTAACCCGGCGTTATGCTGTCCTCTTGGCAAGGAGAAATGACACATAGTAAAATGAAAGCACACACCTATAATTCAGGATGTCTCCTATCAATGGCAATGATAAGAATTCATATTTGATCAAGGGCAGTGAAAATATTAAATCTAAAAAAAGTGGTCTTGTGGCTCAACTTGCCACAGTGTAGGGGTAAGTTGATCCAGGTCAGGAGGTAAATTGAACCACTTCACTTTTTAAACCTGGGGATAGGCCTACCTACAAAAAATCTTAAAGGTAACTTTAAACAATAAATAACAAACCAAATACAAGTTTAATTCAAATATTTTAATATACATTTCGATTGAATTGATTGATTTGTTTACCACTGGTGGTACGCCAGCTCCCGCTAGTTGTACGCGGAGGAATCTGAAATATAACAAATATTTTTTTTTTTTAAGAACTTTTATTTTTTTACATTTTATTCAACCAGATGAAAACATTGAGACAAAATCTCATTTTCAATGCTGACCTGGCCAAGAAGGCAGTAACGGTTCTTACACATACTGTAACACAGACGTAAAAAATACAGAAAACACAACTAAGTAAACAGAAAGACGAAAAGCAGTCCCTACATTGTACACATTTGGGACAGTAAGGTACACTACTTATTACTGCAAGAGCAGCTGGTGGTAAGGACCTCAGACAACTTCAATTTAAAACAGGCTGTAGGGACAAGTTCCATCAGTTTGAGGCTTGATTGAATAACATTAATTCAAAAATAAATCATACTATCAAAATACTACAACGAATAAAAATAAGCTTGAGATCATTGAAACTGTGGTTTAAATAAGTTCTAATAGGCTATTGTTGTTTTTAGATTTAGAAACACATTTTTTTATATTTCTGGCGTTGCTAATGACGACCACACTACCCGCAAACGATTAGCGAACGTTGCAAGCAAGCTAAAGAAAGAAGAAAGCTGAATGATGTTAAAAACGTGGCTCAAAACGGGAGGTATTCAGAAGAGAGGTACAGAGGAGAATATTACCAGCGAAAGTGAATGAGGAGGAGGACAGTCATCAACCGAGCACAAGCGCAGCAACGCAAGAGTGATATGCACAGCCACAATGCTGTGATGGAGGAGAGAAGTGACTCAGGGAGAAGGCATTTGCGCAACATTCAAACTTTGGTATAGGAAATGACATGTATGTACAGTTGTCATTTGTTGTGTGAGAATGAGTTATTATTTTGTTCTTTATGTTCTCACTTGTGGTGTGTGTGAGTGAGTGAGTGAGACAGAGAGAGACTGCCCTTTGTACATGTAGCTGTGGCTGACAATAAATAATGTTATTATGAATACATTGGCCTCCGAGTCCTGCATGAACTGTGCATAGACTGTATTTTAACATATGGTGGTAATTGGAGAGCCAACTATTTTCTCAGGTGGTACTTGGTGTAAAAAGGTTGAGAACCACTCTGCTACTCCACTGGCTCAACTTAGCCCAAGGCCCATGGTTCACTTTACCCCATAGTCATCATTTTAGAAATAATTGCCTAATACGCTGCCAACACATCAACATAACAATATATGTTTTTAAACAGTTTTTGTATTATGATGAACAGAGGGACGTTAGATGCATTCTTTATCACCATCATCATAGTGATACAGTTAGTTTGTGTAAGTTTATTTGTTCAATACAGTAGGCTATATATCGACCACTTTCATATGCATTGATGTTGAAGGCTAAGCCACTTTCGGGTCCCGGGGAGCTACAGCAGCGAAGCAGCCTCAGAGATAACTCTTTCTTCATTGTTTTTTGTGTATTCAGTCATCATCAGGCCATCACGTGGTTTCCGAAAATAAACGAGTGACACGAGTAGATTTTAGCCGAGACCGGCGGAAAGTTTGTCTCAAAACTCTGTGTGTGTAAAAAGACGATCCCCAAGCAGAGATTTGAGATGCACAAGTAGAGATTTGAGATCCGCAAGCACATTTTTGGTTGACATATACAAAATGGATTCACAAATGCCTGATCAAAAGTTGTCAATTTTAAAAGAGATATTCACAGATCTTTTTTTTATTTGTGAAAACATTTAGCGTATTTGCAGATCCGTTTTACATTTGTAAATTTATTTGTGAGTTTGCAAATCTTTTAAATGCATTTGTGGATCGTGTTTTACATTTACAAATCGCATATTTACACAGCAATTATATTTATGTTCACACAAATAATTATGAGACACATCTATGCCCATATACCCCTCTCTAAAATAACTGGCCCCATGTGCCGCTTCCTAAATTGCTCTAGAACCGTCACTGGGCTACTGCCAGAATGTGCTTTATGAAAAGCAGGTTTTCCTATAAATAAAATCCTTTTTCATACTAAATATCTTGATTTCTTATTTTTTCTAAGGACATATTGTTCTGTTATAATACACTTAAGTAAAAAACATCCTATTGAAATGTGTCTTTTATTGTATTTACTTGCATTGCATTTGATATTGAGGTATGGCCTAATCCACAGGTAAAAGTCACATCACATTTTCAATATCATTAAGATTTAACTCGAAATTCAAATTGAAATCCGTATTGGTGCTCAGTGGGAGTTTTTTAAATAACATTATTATTCCATCCTTCCATCTACCTCCTTCTCTCCCTATTCCCCAGGGAAACTGTTATCTTTCTGTAAACGGACGTCATGTCATGTGAACTGGTGCGCATGCCGCCTGTCACAACGATGCGCAGCGGTGGAACCAGAAGCTGTCTGCGTCGGAGAGGAGTGGATTGACACTGGTAGCGCAGAGTCGACGATCCGCTGCATCCCGATCCTGACGTGGACGCACAACAGCAACAAACCCATCAGTATGTAAACGATACACACTTGTAATGGAGCATCGTCTCCCCGCTGCACAGTATTAACCTGCTGGACAATGCGGACGGTGATGCGGCGAGCAGTGGGTGTGCGCTCCTGAAGACCCGCCGCGAGTCAACAGAGAAGAGCAGCTTCACCCAGCATCTCCACCCACCGCGGATAATGTGTTTTTACTCCCTGCCGTTCTCCATCCTCTCCAGGTTAAAGCCGACGGAATCGACCGAAAGGACCATGATCCATTAAATACATGTATCCCCCCCTGCAGCAGCATCAAGAACCAGGAGATCCAAGATGAAATTTCCGATTGAGAATCCAAGAAAGCTCGGGAGCATGAACCCTCCACCAGGTTAGACTGTCATTTTTAATATTGCCATCCAATCTGCATTTTCCCATTGAATCCCATTAAAATGCCTCATCTCATCACTGCGTGTATTGAATTGAAATGCTGCAGTCTGGGTAATTGCCCCTCTATAGTGTTTACCTGGTCTGCACCCACTGTGATTGCTTCTGCCTGAAAGCTCCAGCAAGCTTTCCACTGAAAGATTAATGCTGACCAAAAATGACTTTCCGGAGAAATGTGGTAGTGGAGGCTGATGCTGCATGCTGAACGTCACTATGGGAGAATAGGCTACTGCAGCCTGTGCCATCCCCACTGATGGAAACACAAAGGGGGGGCTTGTTTTGATGTGTCTATACCTGCGGAATGATTCAATGGGAGGGAAATATTTGTATTACCAAATGATTCCAGGAAAAATTAACTAGACTGTCAGTCTTTTTAAACATTACCTCACCTCTGGGAAGATCCCCCCCCGAAATCTTGCATGGGTGTCACGTCCTCCTATAGCGTAGCTTCAACATCTGTTTACCCAGCTGGTGATTCAGCACATGACATATTGGAGATGTATGACAATCATTTCCAAGTCTTGCTTCTGCACCGTTAAATCTATGATTTTGTACTGTTCATCATCACATCTGAAAATAAAGCGGTTTTCTATACACATTGGTTACATAACAAAGCAGACAATTCTATCGGTATCTATAAGTGTGCTCAGCGTCAGTGAGATATGTCACTGGTCACGATTCCACTGTTACACAACATTATTTAAGATGGAGAAATGTAAAAAACAAAGGGTCACACCATGGGGGGGGGGGAACCCACACACATCAGTCTAACCATATTCAACAGCCTGGGTTTGTTCCAGGAGAAGGATACATTACCACTGAACACTTTTAATGACGTACACAAATGGGTTGAAGCCACGTAAAGCCATTTTAAAAACACAGTTTACACATCTATTCAGTTGTTTTTACCATTGGAAATTAGTTTTTATTAAAGACTAAATCCAATGCAATGCATCCTCCACCTGCACCTAATGTCTGAAAGAAAGAAAGTAAGCACACCCAAAAGACCTTCTGTGTAAATACTATTTTCAAGGTCAAGAATTTGTCATTATTGCTCAATCTGCCAGTAATCACCCTGTTAACTGATGTATCCTTGGTTCTATATTGTAATAAAATAATAGTAAAAGGCAGAGGTGACATCTTGAAATTGCTTCTTTTTAAGTTTGTTATTTGATAGTGCATTCAGGGATGGTACATGCAACAAATGTCCCAAAACTTGAAACGATAGTGGGTTGTTGCAATTTAATGCATGCGTAGCTGCCAAGGCACTCAACCATTTCTTATTTTTTCTGACCAATAGAAGTAAAAGTTAGAAATACGTTTTATTATCCCAAGCTCCTTGAGTTTGAACCCTGTTGTCAAAATGATTCAGTGGATTAGTAAGTTGCTTAAAGTTGTATAGCATTCCCAGAAAGGTTCATTTTAACACAAGTGCTTTACAATGGACATTGAATGCATTAAGATACAGGGCAATGAAACACATTACACAGTTTTATTGAAATACATGTAAAAACAGTCATTACAAAGCCAAGAGAATACAAATTAAAATACACACAATAGAATAAAAAATATATGAAATACAACTATAAAGTTACAGTGTAAGATATTACTTAGATTTAAAGAAGGCAGTGGCAAGACAGAAAAAGTCTTCAGCCTTGATATAAACTACTTTATTGGAGAGGACCTGCAGTTTTCTGGTAGTTTGTTCCAGATATTTGGAGCATAATAACTGAACGCTGCTTCACCATGTTTAGGTCTGAATCTGGGGACAGAGAGCAGACCCCTCCCAAAAGACCTGAGAGTTCTGGAAGATCAGAAATGAAGTAAATTCCGGTGTTAAGACCTCAGAAATTGAGTGATATGATCCACTTTCTTAGTGTTAGTGAGGACTCGAGCAGCAGCATTCAGAATAACCCGCAGCTCTCTAACCAGAAATAATTAAAGTCAAGAAATGGCCAGCGTAGGATTACTTGGAAAAAGATGGCCACAGGTGTTTTCACCCTTCCTGGAAAACGACGCATCTTTACCTCCCGTTGGTACAGACTTATTATCTTTGACCCACTGAACTTTTTGATTTACATGTAGGATATGCAGCGAGTGCTTCACAGATCTAAACTTGCATGAGTTATAGATAAAGTAAAATGGATAAAAGGTTGTTTATGAGTTTACAAGTTTAGCAAGAGGCTTACTCTTGGAAGTTATGTTTTTGTGTTCAGGGTTTTCTCCAGTTGTTTTTGTTGTACAACAGTTGGTGTTGCAGCTATGTGTTACATATACTGCATCTCTGGGTAAACATTAGAGTCTGTTGGTAGAAGATTAGAGTCTTCTCTTTTTTGCCTGTCAGCAAACATCCTGCAAAATATGAATCCTGGGAATAAATAGCGTTCTAGAGATTGCATAAAAGGCTGTAATAGTCGTTTTCATTTCTTTATGGTCTCGCTTCAGAGTTTGCCGATATAATATGTTTTTAAAAAGCATTTAGACTGTCTCTGGTAACTTTATAGTCCCTACATGGTGTTTTGTGTAAGATTGATTTTCCCCTCTTTATTTCTCCTCCCAAATCTGTTTTGCTTAAAGGCATTTTAAATTGTTTTTAATTAAACATGCATGCTTTAATGAACGGAAATACATACTCACCTGTTGCATGTCATTTATCAGCAGAAGATATAACTGTTTTGTGCCGATAATGAATGGTGCTCTAACAAAATCGAAAGTTGACAGATAACATCTTCCTGATGTTGAATTCTTAATGCTAAGATGGCAGTCTTATTATCCGTCAGGAGAATTTATCATGTTTTTTCTGTTAACTTCCCTAACTCATGCCAATTAAAATGCACTGCAGGAATGCAAGACTTTTTTTTTATTTAAGTTGTGTTTTTCTTGAGCCTTAAGTTACCACCTTTAGTTCTACATAGACACTTAATACCTTGAGATGTTGCAACACACACACAATTGTTGACTTGTCTTGTGTTTCAGTGGAAGTCCAGACCAACCTGGTCCCCCCAAAGAAGGTGCACGCAGGCATGCTTCAGTGCAGCCTGGTGCATGCCAGTGTGGCCACCATGCAGAACCCGATGGGCTGCGCTCTGCCGCGGCTCTCTGTCGCCCCCCGCCCCCCCAGCGTGGTGGCCAACATGGAGGGGGTGGTGGACGGTTCAGCCACCTTCACCATGATGAAGCTGAAGACGGTGCTGGCAGTGTTCGTGGTGGTGGTTGCGTACCTGGTGGTGGGGGGCTTGGTGTTCCGGGCGCTGGAGCAGCCCTTCGAAAACAACCAGAAGATCACCATCACAGCAGAGAAGGCCGCCTTCCTGCTGAAACACCAGTGCGTGTCCCCGGACGAGCTGGAGGCGCTCATCAAGGTAAGAGCAGCCGTCGTTCGATACTGCAGCCTTTCCTAAGCCCCGAATGTGGATCCCAGTGGGGAATAAGGTCTACTGAAACCTGAGCTTTATATCGATTGGACTCTTTTCAAGCGGCAAACACACCCCACACACTGCCAGCCCCCTGGAAATAGATACAAACCACACTGAGCTGTCTAGTACACACAGCGTAGAGTCCTGATGGCTCTACATCCTTGAAACTTCTTGAGGTTGTGTGAATTTGAGAATAATTTTCCACTGAGATGTGATTTTATAAATCGAAGGTCTCAACTTTACTATTTTTCGACTTACTGTATCTTTACTGTTTTTGTACGTTGGATGGACAAAGAAAAAATGTAGGTTGTGATTTCACTCTGAGACTGCCCTATGGAAACTCTTGGGATGAGTATTTTCAACTATTTCTCTTTGACATTAATAATTTGAATCCATTATTTCATTAAAGAAATAAACATTAATAAAGAAAATAACAAATAATGATTATTAGTTGTTTCCCAAGCTGATATGTTTAAGGCGAGACACCCCAGGTGAATAGGGTAATTTTTTTAACTTAAAGGTATCAGCTAGAAATTTCTCCAGTTAATTACTTACAATAAGGCAATTGTCTTTTGTATTACAAGTTTTCTGAAATAGCATGTTTAAATATGCAAATTAGCCATTATCTCATCAAATATGTGCATATTTTAACACATTTCAGGAATCGAAATCTGAAC